AGATCTGGGCACAGGCATCGCGTTCTGATCTGGACAACAGGAACAGAATGTATACTTATTTGGGAAAATGGATCATGGGTTAACAACAGCAAATGTGAATGCCCATTCCTCCCTGCCCACCCATGGAAGTCAACTCCTCTCCAAGTCACCCATTTAGGAAGCCTCCTGGGGTATCTCCCCATGGCTTCCCAGGGGGGTCCAGGAGAGGGCTCTTCCGCAGGTCCGGCACAGGGGACTGGCTTTGCCTGGGCCCTGCCCAGCAGAGATCATGTATCGCCTCCTGGGGCTGCGGCCCGTCCTCAGGGGTCCAGACCTCACAATACCGCCCTGTGGTTACTACCTGATGGCCTCCTGCTGTGCCCCCAAAAGTAAAGACTTACACTATCTTTCTTAGCAGGTGCTCAATGAAGATTTAAAGCAGTTAACTGCACACTGCTGGCAGGAGGTCACAGGCAATGGAGCCTCCCAAACGCTAGGGAGTCACAGCAGCACCACCACCAAATATTTCGTTTTAAGATGGTAGCCTAGTCTGAGCATTTTTTTTTTTTTCAAAAAGCCTGGTATCACTTCGATAAAACCAGCTAACTTCTTCGAAAGTCAATGCAAAAAAAAAAAAATAATAATAATAATAAATAAATCACCATGCCACTTTGTCCAAGCCACCTCTCTTGGATCATTTATACCCTTCATCTGCAGCTGGCACTGTATCGAACCTGACCTCTAGGAGCTTTTAATCAAAATTAATTTTCTATCCACAAAGGGGCAAATGCCAGCTGGTCCCTGTGCCAGGCAGCCTGCTAGAGAGGTTCTCTTCAGCGGTGGGCCACCGGTGCGCTGCGGACGAGCTCGTGGTCCGCGGTCCATTCTTCCCGCCTTGCTTAGAAAGGGAGCCACAACCCTCTGGTGGCGGGAGCAGAAGCCCGGTTCAGTTCTCCAGCCGCCTACCGCAATAAGCACAAAGAACCTTGCAAACTGATGAATACCTACTAGGATCTGGGGGGAAAGGGAGAAAACCGGTTGATATGATCTGTCAAATAGAAAACTACCCGAGTACATTCTGACCACTTTTTGAGAGAACTCAATCATGTCCCATCTTTGCATATAAAAGCTCCAATCCCTCCAAAACCCTCCTACGGTGTAGATACTCCATAAATAACCTTTTTTTTTTTTTTTTTTGCACCTAGAGCTCAACGCCCTGGCTCCGCTCCCTACAGTCACCACCACGTAGGTCCAAATGTAGTAACGGTAAGAAGCAGGATGCAATTAATCAGGGAAAGGTTACACGCTCAAATTCTCATGAAGCAAAGCACACGGCTTACAATACATCAGATATTAGAAAAACTGTGCGAAGCAAGGCAAGCTCTTTTGCTCCGTGGGGCAAATTATTCCTTTCTAAATTAGATTTCCCATTAAAGCCCAAGGTAGGTTCTGATGCGGCACCTGACACGATGAAAACTTGCAGTCTAGGGCGCAGAGATGAGGGATTTCGGCACCTCTTCACCCCAATACATTACTCAGTTATAATTCCCTGCATTTTACACAAAAATTCAAAAGCGGTCGCGGCGGAATCTTCTCGAACGGGGCTAAAATGGAACTCAGGAGGCGGGGGTCGGTGTGGAAAGAGCAGGAGGATTATTTTTCCCTCTCCTGGCGAATGAGATGCTCCCCCCTACCACCCCTCCTCATGGCCCCCCTCAGCGCGCATGCGCAGTCAGGCAGCACTCGACTACTTAAGGCGCGGCCACCGCGGCTGCGGCAGTGCGCCCAACAGCGGACTCCGAGACTAGCGGACCTCGGCGAACCCGCGGCCTCACTCCAACACCGACCTACCACTCTCGGAACCATGGCGGCAGTGGCTGCAGCCTCGGCTGAACTGCTCATTATCGGCTGGTACATCTTCCGCGTGCTGCTGCAGGTAAGTGTGCCTGGGCTCTGGGAGGCAGAGGGGTTTCGGTGTGCACCCTAACCCGGCGATCCGCGTAGCGTTTGCCGCCTTCCGCGGTACCCGTCCTATTCTGACTGCCGCGGCCGCTGCCTGCCGAGTGCCGCGGCCGGCACCGTGCGCCCCCGCCTGTTCCCAGCGCCCTCCTACTCGCGCAGACCCTTTCCAGTGCGCTCGCGCCCGGCTGGGAACAAAGAGTTGGGGTGCGGCGGGCGCCAGCCGCGGACGGGCACTGAAGCTCTTAGCGAACAATGTGGTAAGAAAAACCAATACACCCAGATTCGACCTCAGAAGGGAGGCGGGGCACTCTGGTTTACACCGTTACCGCACACTTAGCGAAAATTTTCCGCCTTAAAGTGCGCATTGCGGGGAAATTTTCTTTAAAAATACATAGCGCTTGCGGGGATAGGACAAAAATAAGTTAGAAAAAGGTAGTTGGGAGGGAAAAGCACTTCGCAAAACAAAACGAAAAACCAACCCACATCAAACATGAGGAGAATAAAAGTAATTCGTCAGGAAAAAAAATAAAGAAAATGCGCATTGCAGGAAAAAGTAAGTCGGACAAAAGCACTTGGCAGAAAAAAATGCACTAGCTACAAAGCGCATTGCAGAAAAAAAATTAGACAAAGGAGCAAACAAAAACGAATCAGACAAAAGCGCTTTGAAGAAAACAATTAGAGGAAAGGGTTCTTTGCAGGAAAATGGTAGGAAAAAAAGCGCTTCCAAAAGAGGACAATTCGATTAAAAAAAAAAAAAAGCAAAGTGCTCTGCATAAAAAGAAGTAAATCAGAAGAAAGCGCTTTGACCATAAAATCATTTACCCAAAAGCACCCTTTGTGGGAAGATTTCCCTGCTAAAGATTTCCCTTTGCCAAAGGAATCGCATATTTCCTTTAAGGTGTTCCTGGAATGCTGCATTTACTGGGTAGGATTCGCTTTTCGAAATACTCGAGGGACACAGCCCATTGCGAGAAGTGAGGTATAACCTAAGTTATGGGTCCAATCAGCTTGCCGCCATGCAGCCTTCAGCACAGTTGGAAAAGCTCCAGCTGCCCTGACTCGTGGACAAGCTGCGCCCTCGCCTGCCTCTCTGCCTAGTCGGACAGGCGGGCAGGGCAGGGGGCGGGGCAGGGGGTGGGCATGGCACACTGCAGAAGCTTTGGGTGCGGTGCTCCCCTTTAAGGGCAGGTCCTGGATTTCTCACTGCAGGTGTTCAGGTACTCCCTGCAGAAGCTGGCGTACACAGTGTCCAGAACCGGGCGGCAGGTGTTGGGAGAGCGCCGGCAGCGAGCCCCCAACTGAGGCCCCGGCCCCCAGCCCTGGGCGGCCATGTCACCAGGTGCTCCTGTGCATCTCGGCCAGCATGGGAGCCAGTGCCGCGCAGGAATGGGGGGTCCCCTGTGCTCTCTCGTCAGAGGAGCACTTGCCAAGGTCAGTGAGGGGCCAGTAAGCCTCCGGAGAAGCAGCACCGATAATGACGACAATAACAGAGCCCTTACCCCTTTGCACCGGTCCCACTGCGGGTTGGGGTAGAGGGAGAAGGGGGTACAGGGGGAGCAGACTGTGAGATCTGGGCACAGGCATCGCGTTCTGATCTGGACCAAGTTGGGACAGCGACATCCCAGCCTCGCAGCCTTGGCCATGCCAACAGGCCCCACCACGGAGATCCAGACAACTACACCAGCCAGCAGAATGGACATTCCAGCACCACCAGCTGAAGCCCTGAATCTCAGTGCAGCAGAAAAGGCACCAACTGTGTGCCAGTGTGGCGGGACTGGAGGGCTCCAGTGAGGGAGGAGGGTTAAGAAATTAACGGGGCCCTCTCATTGACCCTTGCCTGTGGCACATTCATTCCAGCCCTGCTGCCTTTGCTTCCTCTATTCCTCTTTCCCCAAAACCTCTTCCCCCCATCACTGCCTCCCCAGCTCACCCACCCTAAAGAAATGCCATTTGATCTGGACCTATTCAACCAGTAAACTAATCCCATCTTTACTAAAACACCTTCTCTGAGTCCCCAGCCGCTCACTGATCTTGCTTTTCCCTGGTCTCACGCAATTGTGGTCAATGTTGTGGTAATCGCTAATTGTACTAATTGTATAAGTGTGCATTAGTTGTGTCTCCCCAGCTAGATTGTAAGCTCCTGGAGGACAGGGACCACCTCTACAAAAAAATAAAACTCAGTACCTCCCCCATTGCACAGTGTCCCAGGACCCTGTGGGGTGGTAGAGGCGCTCAAAAAGTTGTCTCTTGTGACTTATTTCTCAACTTCCAATGTGAAGAATGGACCGATCTGCCCATTGCTGAGTGGGGACACGGCCTGGGAGCAGGTGGGGCAGGGGAAGCAACAAAGTGGGAATAAATTGCCTGGCCTCCCACACAACCAGTTCTCTTGACATTTCAATTTAACACTGTCCTGAGATAAAGGACCACTTCCCTTGCCTCCCCCCAAGCTCACCATGGTGGGTGCCTTCACTTATCCTAGAATAAGGGGCTCTGGTGTGTAAGGGGGGGGGGGCTTAAAGAGCACAAAGCCTTATCACACCAGGTCTCAATCCAGGACTCCCTCTCCCCCCTCAGGAAATGAGCTCTGGAGAGGGTGTGGCAAATGAATATGGGTAAGAGGTGTGCTGTGCTGCCTCCCCATCCTACTTGTCCCTCCAAGCCCCATAACCTCTACCGGACCCACTATCGGACACCCTGCTTGGCCTTGCTACTCTCCTGGATTTCCCACCTCCACTACCAGGGACCTCTTTCCAGATCAGTCTCCCCATTACTGGGCTCCTTGCTTCTCCCAACAGTATCCTCCAATTAGAGGTGCTTACCAGGTCCCTGTCCCTGGGCTCTCCCCTGCCATCAGGGTAGACTGGCTGCTCCACTCTGACTTCTCTCCCTTCTTCTTAGAGCTCCTTCTTACATGGGGTCAGCTGACTACTTCAACAAATGGCCATGCTGCCGGTTTAGGCTCGTCTTTGGCTCTACATGTCCCTGTCATTACACACCTGTTCTTGGGTCAATACCAAGGAAGGGAGTTGGACAGCCATAAATCTGTCACTTCCTCAAATCCCTTAGTCACAGCTGTCACAAACACTTCTGGAGCATAAAGCACCTGGTCCCTTGAGTCTGATCATGTTCCCCTCCCCTAGAGCAACCCAACCAACAGCCCTTCTGGAGACATCTCTAACTTCAGTTCAGCATTAGGGAATTACAGGGCTGGAAAGGAAGGTCTTGCTTTCAGTAGGTTTGTCATCACATGACCCAGGGAACCTAGTCACCTCTTGCCCCTCACCTCAGTCCTATTATGTGAAAATGGCCAAGATCCTGGTGAACCCCAACAAAACTAGAAATAGTCATCAAAGTGGCAATCAGAGCTCATCAGAACTGGTGAGAATGTGCAGTCTGAGACTCCAACTGCCTCAGGTTGGATGGCTCCAGCTTCTACCATAGCCTGAAGGTGAGGTAGGCCTCCGCTTGCCTGGGTGACTCACCAGCAGGCACTGCCCACACCTCCTTCCTTCTGAAGTCAGTATCTTGGCAGGCTTCAAGACAGGGAGTTTCTGGTATACTACACTAAATTCACAGAACCATGAACATATTTCAACATGTGTACTCAATGAAGGCTGCCCCTCCCCTCAGAGCCTTTGAAGGGTGTGCCTGTAGCCCCTCTAATGTCAAACCACTTATAAGGTAGCTGAGTTCAAGGGAGATGGGCTGCAGCAGCACAGTGGGTGGGGCTGCTCTGGAGGCGGCAGCACCTCCGTAGCCGCCTGTGCCATTCTACAAGGCAGGAGCCTGCTGGCAGCCCCCAAGTTTTCCAGGTCTTAGCAAAGCCCAATTGTGGGACTTCTTCCATCCATCAGCAAGTCTCTAAATGTGGTATAAGGAGAAGGCAAGACTTTCAGGCAAGGGCTATCCTGGGGTCCTGTATCCACATGAGTGGGCTTGAGTATACAATGTCCATTCCCCCTTTTTATCTCCCATTCCCAAACCCTCATGCTCTGGCAGCAAACACAACCCACCAGAGAATGCAAAAGGAACTCATTCACTCTGTTCCTGTGTGAAGCCTAGAAATCTGGCTCAAACGCATCTTATTTATAAAAATTTTTCCAGAAGTGATACCATTAAAATGTTTTATTCTGATAGAGAGCAGTGGGAGGAGTTGAAATGACTAGATTTTATTGGAAAGACTTTCGTCTATTGGGTAAATGTCCCTTTCTTCTAAACCACCTCTACCACCCTCTCAAGGCACCTCCCCCGTCCCCCCAAAAAGGGCAAGGATACAGATGAATTGTGAGGGGATTGGAATGGGACTCCAGTTGTAGGGCTATAGTAACAGGCGACTCTTGGGACTAATGCCCCAACCAAGGTGTTAGTTTCTCAGGCTAACTAGTGAAGTCAAGCCCCAGGAAGGCTGAGGTGCCATGGTTTTCAGAGGTACTGGGATGCAAGGTCATACTGCTACATCTACTGTTGGAGTATTTGGATTGTGGCTGAAGAGAGGGTGGATTGCGGGGACAAGTTTCATGAGCTTCAGCGGCAGAACAACGATAGTTTATTACACGTGGGTCAGATGAGAGAGCAGGTTTGCTGTGAGCCATTCGCTAGATATGTATTTTCAAACTGCACCATAAAGTGAGATTCCGAATTTACAGTTAGCTTTTCCCCATGACATTTACACGTGCACAAGCGCACAAACAGACACAAAACATTAGTCTAACAACAGTCTCTTTTTCCCCCTGGTGACCTCTGACTTCCTCGATATGCCCTAGAGACATGTCACCATCTTCTCTGGGAATGATCCTCTTCACTCTCCCATCCTCACCCTCCTACAGAGCTCATGCCCCAGCAGGATCGATTCCTGAGCATTCCCAGAACAGGAAGTCAGAGAGGCAGGCAACACATGGTCCTTGGTATATCACACAGTGACAGGCTTGAAATGGAATGCATATGTTTCAAAGATAGGAGAACAACAACAACAACAACAAAAGACAGCCAAATCCAGACTTTGAGATTCCTCTTTGAAACAACATTACAGATAAAAGGTTAAACTGGTTTTGGCAGTAACTCTAACATACCAATTTCAGATACGGATTTGATTTGGCCTTGGATTTGATTTGGCCTTCGGAAGCTGACCAGGGCTTGAAGTCTTTTAACAGGTTTGTTTCACATCAATTGTCTTTAATTTAAAACAAACAAATAAACAAGATCTAACACTTGGCAGTAGCATTTAGACTGGAACTTTTTTTTTTTTTTTTTTTTTTGGTCCTGGCTTTGGCGTTGCCCTCCAGAAGACTGAGGGGGATGCTTGGACCCTGTCAGGCAGGGCAGACAGAAGCTGTCCCCAACACACCATTCCCTGAAAGGAATAAAACACGAGCCGAACCTATAAATAGAAAGACCATTTCTTTCCCAGGGCAGACCCCAATCTGTCCCAACATTTAACGCTGAAAATAGACATGTAGGCCTGGAAGGAAATTAAAGGTTTGGAAGGGGGAAGGAAAAAACAACTGTCTTTCATCACCCATTCTTCTTTCCAGGTCATTAGTGTGCCAGGCATTCCGTTCCTTCAGCTGCCCTTGAGGCCACTCCCCATATATATAAATTACAAGAAAGGGAACGGGCTGGTTCGGCCTTTGTGTAAAGTTAAGGGAGAGAAAGCAGCATTCGCGATTCAAAGCCGAGCGTCAACCTGTCGCCCCAGACGCCAAAGCGAGGGCCCGCGGCTGGAGGTCCCTCCCTCCCTTCTCCAAGTCCCTTCTGATTGGGGAAAGGGAAAAAAAAAAAGCGACTGAAGTGGCAGGGCCAAAGTGGCATGCCTCTCAGAAGCTGGGCCCGCTGCCATGAGCCCTGGGGCCCAAGAGCGGGTGGTCGCGCCCCAGCCGCCGCGCTCCCGGCTCTGCCCGCCTCATCCCGGGAGCAGATTGGCGAGCACTGACCTTGGAGGCCACAGAGAGAACCCAGGAGTCCTGTGACCCACCCCCAAGCCGGGAAGGGACCCTCCCCGACCGGGGCCCAGGCTGGGGCTAAGCAGGACAATCACGTGACACGGGGCAGGGGTGGCCCTAGAGCGTGCGGAAGAAAAACCCCAGTGAGGGACGGAGCGACGCCTAAGGTGACCCCGAAGGGACAACATGGCGGCGCGGCCGCACTGAGGGCCTCTTATCCCGCCCCCGAGAGGCCGACGCCACAGTACCTGCGAGCCCTGCCATGGCGCCGCCGCCACTGTCGCCGTCGCTGCCGCAGCCCGTCTCCACCTCAGCTCGACACCAACGCCGCAGGAAGCCGGGGAGACGCCCCCTTCGTCTTCTAGTCGTGCCGGCCAAGGACCCCTTTAGGATCGGGCTATCTAAAGCAGATGCCTGATCATACGACCCCAAGGGAGGCCACCTTTGCCATATAGTCTCTCAAAATACGCATCAGATAACATGTAAAGACTGTTTGAGGGCTTGTGAGGAACTCTGGGGCCTCTAAACTTGTCAAGTTCGGAGACTTTTTAAACAGGCAAAGTTTGGACAGTCCCAAACCACGGGCTTGGTCCCTTAATGCATATGCAGCAGATTGTGAGCTTCCTCGTGAGAGCAGAGGGGGCGTACCGTAGTCTCGGTAGGTGAGCTTCCATCCCCGAGGCCGGGGTGTGGATGACCCGTGTGCCCCAGGATAACCTGCTGGTTCAGAGTCCGCCCCCTCCCTGGCCCTTTCACCGAGAGGCCAAAGTTGAGGATCGCAAAGGTCCGGGCTGAGAACTTTGGGCCTGACTTGGGTTTGGACCCGACTCCGCCCCTCGCCCTATACCTCGGGGCTACCCTCTCGCCCACCCGGCTCTGATGCCCGTGTCTGATGAAATGCCTCAAAAGGTTGTTGTGGGAATTGAGTCAGTGTACTCATGTATTAGCCAATGAAGCCCATGCCTTGAGCGCTTGCTGTGTGAAACTGTGCCAAAGGCAAGAGGGTACAGTGGAGGGTGATACGTGTCCAACCCCAAGACAAGGCCAGTCTGGTGGGAGAGAGTCTGGGGACATGGCAGAGGGGAAGACAGTCATGAAATAATTACCATATCTTAATAACTTTAGTCGAGTTTTAGCATCACGGGAAGAGCTGTGCAGATGAAAGAATGCTAGGGAGAGACAGTAGGGTGATGGTGGACCCCATTGGAAATCTGGCGTTTATCCTGAGAAACCAAGGACAATTGGTAGTTGTGCAGGGCAAGAGTGAATATCTTAGTCCAGAAATGGTGGTTGGGAGGAGCACGGTGGGGGTGAGAGGTGAGCAAAAACAGTGCTGTCTAAGGAATTCGGATTGACTTTAAGAGCAGTAAAGAAGCCACTTTCAGTAAGGGAATGGGTCTGAACTTGAGTTTCTGAAAGGCCACCCTGGTTGCATGGCCAGTTGGAAGGCAACTGGTGCAGCTTTCTAGGTGCAAAGTAATGGTGAGTCATACAGGGTGTTGGCTTGGGGAAGTGGGAAGTAGAGGGTTTAATATTGGATGTGGATGAGTGCTCCAACATTAGTAGTAACACCTAGATTTTTACCTTGAATATGAAGGAGTGAAAGAACCCTTGACTCAGGTGGTTAAGCCTGAAGAAGGATCAGATTGAGGGGGAAGATGAAGAATTTGGTTTTGAGAAGGTAAGTTTGAAATGCCTGGGCAACATCTTGGTGGAGAGGGTAAGTAGGCACCATTTATCTGAGAATGGTGCTAGGGATACATACTTAGATAATGTCAACACACAGGCGATATACCATGGCACTTGAGGAAATCCCAAGGGAGGGAAGGTACATAAAAAAGCATAGGGAGCAGAGCAATGCAGTGACTAGAGGAATAGGAGGACCAGGTGGACATGGGATTCCAGAGAGGAGGTTTCAGGGTGTGAATACTCAGTGAGGTGACTGCTCTAGATGACAGAAAGGGCACCACGGTTTGATTACAGGGAGAGCTAGTGGACTGTACCCTTGAATGTTGCAAGTTCCAAAAGAACCCTTAGATGAACTGGCTTAAAAAATAAATAGACTTACTGGCAGGATGAGTGACTTGGTGGTGTCATCAAGGACATTCCATCTTTGCTCTGTTGACTAAAGATGGAATGGTTGGCTGTATGTTCATGGTAATAAATGGACACCCCCCACCCCCCAGTTCTTGGAGTTATATATGCATCCAAGAGATGTCTACTCCTCTAGCTGAAACTGAAACACTGGATGTAACCTTTTGCCATCTTGCTGTCTGTGGGCCAAGTGATAAATGCATCCTCACCAGACATACCCAATATCCAACACTGGAGGAAAAGGACAGTCTTAGAATGGAAAATCTTGCTTATAAAAGAAGCAGGAACTAAGTGTTGGCAAGGACATGAAGCAACTGAAATTTTTGCATACTACTGGTAGGAGAGGAACTTGGTAAAACCACTCTGGAAGACTGATCCTTTCTACTAAATCTAAACATACTCCTGCCCCACTATTCTATGACAGAATTTCTACTTGTAGGTATTCATTCCAAGCGAAGTAAGTGCCTGTGTGTACAGAAAAATCCATGCAGGATTGTTCATAGGGAATTCATTCATAACTCAAAGTGGAAATAGTCTAATAGGAGAACCAATAAACAAATTATAACATGTTCATACAATGGGATACTATGTTTTACATATAAAAGTCTAAAATACTGCCATATTTAATACCATGGCTTAGTCTTATATACAATATATAGATTAAAAGAATCCACATACCAAAATAGGACATATTGTATGATTCCATTGACATCAAGTTCGAGGGCAGGCAAAATGAATCTGTGGTGACAAAAATTAGACTGGTGGTTTTCTGGATCAGAGGATGAGTAGAAGTGAGAAAGCGGTAAAAAAGACTTTCCTGGGGTCTGGAAAGGTACCTCTTAATCTGATTGTAATTGATTACAGGGGCAACATTCATCAAACTGTACCTTATGGTTAGGGAACTTCATGTACTTTATATTGTACCTCTAGAAAAAGGAAAATGTAATAAAAAGGAAGTAGTCCTGCCAATTCATGGCAAGTGACATGTGCTGCTGAGTAAAATTCAGAAGGTCTCTTTTGAAGTGACTTTGCCTTCCAGGAACCTCCCTGCCTATCGGGCATTGGCAACCTTTTCCCCAGAACACTGGAGAAAATGAGGCCAGGCCTCTCACTCATATGGACCTGACTCTTACCCAGCTGGTTCCCTCCTTCTACACCCACAAGACTTTCCTACACACCAAACTTAGCTCCAGATGATAGAGATGAGACCAGAGCTGGCCTCAGGGATCTGGAAGATCTTTCTGTCTTTAAAATTTCACTTGAGAGCCCTCAACTTCTGCTAAGCCTCTTGCAGCTTGCCCCTATCCACAGATACCTGAGCACACCCCTGACTCCTGCTTCCTATGCTCACTTTCCAAGTCTTGTCCGTCCCTCTTGAAGCTCCCTTCAGGCCTTTTCTATCTTCACTGCTAAAGCCCTGGTCCAGGCCACTCTCTTCTCTCCCTGGGACCCTTTGCAGCCTTCTCACTGGTCTCACTATCTCCAGTCTCACCCAGAGCCAATGTCCTCCACATAGCAGCCAGGATGATCTTTCTGAAATGGCCCTGTCACTCTTCTCTTGAGCAGTGTCTTCATGGCCTCTGTTTCCACCTGTCAGGAGCCTCTCTAATTATCACAATTGCAAAGTGCTACCTCTTCCATGAAACATTTGTATTTATTCCAAAAACTCTGAGCACCTAAAACATACTAGGTATTGGTAGCCATGGAGGATTGAGAGTGAATAAGACAAATGCCATCCAGTTTGGGGAGAGATGCAGTTAAGCAATGCCATTGCGTGCACATTCCTGTGTCTGTTAACTTCAACTGTGAGCTCCTTGAGGGCCGCGTCATTTTGGGGTTATTTCTTGACCTCAGAGAAGAAGGCAGTAACTGTTGAATGAAAGATGAAAGGGAGGGAGGGAGGGTTACCAGAGTTTTTATGTTTGCCCTCCAAGCCTCCAGTTTGGCTGATAACCAGATTCATGGAATTTAGTTGCAACTAGCTGGCAAACTTGGGGCTAAATGATAGAGAGTCAGGAAAAAGTTTGTTATTAATACATTGATGATTTATGAAGTCACATCTGCTTTCCTATACTGTCACTTCATTTGACATTTTGGTTTTTTTCAAGAATAAACATTTTTTCACCAAGTCTTAGAATCGGGAAATTTAACCTCTAGTGGAACAATAGTTATTTAAATCAACAAAGAAACCATGTGTTATCAGAAGTTTTAAAAAGTAATAAGAAACATTATTAGCAAGGTGACCAAAGAATGAAGTAAGCTCTGGAACAGCACATACTGTGATGAGCACACTAAGGTTTTAGCCTTACTGTGTACTTACTAGCTGTGGGTGCTTGAGCAATTCACCTCTCTACCGCTCTTTCCCCATCGATGTGAGAACAGCTGTAGAGTCCACCGCATGTGGTTGTTCTGAGAATTCAGTGTGGGGATAGTTTGCGGTGCTTAGCATAGCACCTGTCACATAGCTAATACCAGTTACCTATTATTACAAATGGATTAAACAGTCTATTTCAGGGCCGAGGGAGATGTGGGAACTGTGGTGGCGCGTTCCCCTGTCACAGTAAGGCAGGACAAGTGGGTTCAAATCTCCATCTGCTTTCATGACAGTGGCAAGCTCCTGCCTGCTGTGGCTTTAGTTTTTCCAGCTCTTTGGTTCCAGACTGCCTAGGCTCTCTCCACTTGGAAAACAAGTGCTGCTATTTTATTCAAGTCTGTGGCGACACCTAGTGATAATATGGGGAAATCCCTAGTGTTCTTAATAAGCTGTCAGCCTATTAATGATTCAACAATAATGATATATTAGGCGCTTATTATGTGCCTGATACAGTGCAACAGGAACTGCCTTACTTAATTTTCGATGTTCTGTAAGGTGTAGAGTTAATATTTTTCAGCAGTGGAAAGGAAGGTTCAGGAAGATAGAGTCAGTTGCCTAATAAGGCTATTGGTAATAGGGCTGACTTTGAATCCAGGCCACATGGACCTAAAGCCCCAATATGTCAAACCTATAGGTGAATCCTGGAGAAACATGAAAAATCATATTCCTGTCTCATACTGAATATGAATATAATCTATACCTATGTTAGGGAGGATAAATGAGGCTTAGATCCCCATGTTTAGATACGCTATAAAATGTATCTCTAAAATCCCTTGGAGAATTTATGACCTAGGCAGCTTTTCCTTTCCAAGGGGCCAAGTCTATCCTAGATGATTATGAGATCCTACCAAGGACTAGCTGTGAAGG